CTGACAGAAATCTTAGGACCTGCAAAGCCTAAAGTATTTATTCTCTGATCCTTTTTTATTATTCAGTTATTCATATGTGCATACATTATTTGGACCATTTCTTCCCCCCCAAACCTCCCTTGCTACCAGGAAGAATCTGTTCTGCCCTCTTCTCCAATTACGTTGAAGAGAGGACAAAAGCAATAATGAGAAAAACATAGCATTTTTACTAGTTGAGATAAGGATAGCTACACAGAGAGATTCCTAGCATTGCTTTCATGCACCTTTGTATTACAACCCAAATTGATTCATCTGTACCAGACCTTGTCACTACTTCCCGGTCACCTTCCCATAGTGACCTCTGTCATTTTAAGGTCACTGTGTTAGCTCCTTTGCAGTGGGCACATATTAAGTTTAGGGTTTCCTACCTTTCCCTATTCCTCCTGTGTGTGTTCTCCCCTTAGCATGTGACCCATGTCCAATAATATTACTGCATTTGTTTTAGGTCTAAAGACCACATATGAGGGAGAACATACGAGTTTTGGTCTTCTGAGCCTGGCTAACTTTGCTCAAGATGATGTTCTCCAGTTCCTTCCATTTACTTGAGAATAACATTTCATTCTTCATGGCTGAGTAAAATGCCATTGTGTATAAATACCACATTTTCTTAATCCATTCATCAATAGTGGGGCATCTTGGCTGTTTCCATAACTTAGCTATTGTGAATAGTGCTGCAATAAACATGGGTGTACAGGTGCCTCTGGAGTAACCTGTGTCACATTCCTTGGTTATATCCCTAGGAGTGGGATTGCTGGATCATATGGCAGAGCTATGTTTAGTTTTTTAAGAAGCCTCCATATTGTTTTCCAGAATGGTTGCACTAGCTTGCATTCCCACCAGCAGTGTATAAGGATTCCTTTTTCCCCACATCCTGGCCAACATTTGTTGGTGGTGGTGTTTTGGATGATGGCTGTTCTAACAGGGGTGAGGTGGAATCTTAGTGTGGTTTTGATTTGCATTTCCTTTATGGCCAGACATGGTGAGCATTTTTTCATGTGTTTTTTGGCCATTTGGTTTCTTCTTTTGAAAAAGTTCTGTTTAGTTCAGTTGCCCATTCCTTTATTGATTCATTGATTTGGGGGCAGTTTAGTTTTTTGAGCTACCTGTATATTCTGGTTATCAGTCCTTTGTCTGATGTATAGCTAGCAAATATTTTCTCCTACTTTGTAAGTGGTCTCTTCAGTTTAGAGACCATTTCTTTTGTTGTGCAGAAGCTTTTTAATTTCATGCAGTCCCATTTGTCCAACCTTTCTCTTAGTTGCTGAGCTGCTGGGGTTCTATTGAGGAAGTCCTTGCCTATACCTATTGCTTCCAGAGTATTCCCTGATCTTTTCTGTACTAGTTTCAGAGTTTCAGGTCTGATATTAAGGTCCTTGATCCATTTCAAGTTGATACTAGTAGAGGGTGATAAACATGGTTCTAGTTTCAGTTTTCTGCAGGCAGATAACCTCTTTTCTCAGCAACATTTGCTGAAGAGGCTGTCTATTTTCCATTGAATGTTTTTGGCACCTTTGTCAAAAAATAAGGTGGGCATAGCTGTGTGGATTCATATCCAGGTCCTCTATTCTGTTACATTGATCTTCATATCTGTTTTTGTGCCAGTACTATGCTCTGTAATATAGTTTAAAGCCAGGTAATAAGATACCTCCAGCATTGCTCTTTTTGCCAGGTATTGCATTGGCTATTCGTGGTCTCTTTTGTTTTCAAGTGAACTTTAGGGTTGATTTTTCAATCTCTGTGATGAATGTCTTTGGGATTTTGATGGGAATTGCATTAAACATATAGATTGCTTTTGGTAATATAGCCATTTTTACTGTGTTGATTCTATCAATCCATGAGCATGGAAGATCTTTCCACCTTCTGTAACCTTCCTCAATCTCTTTCTTCAGAGGTTTGTAGTTCTCCTTATAGAGGTCATTCATATCCTTTGTTAAGTTTACTCCTAGGTATTTGATTTTTTTAGGATATTGTAAATGGAATTGTTTTCCTATATTCTTTCTCAATCTGTTCATTGTTGATGTATAGAAAAGCTAATGATTTTTGTAAGTTGATTTTTTATCCTACCACCTTGCTGTAGCTGTTTATGGTGTCCAGGAGTTTCTGGGTAAAGTTTTTTGGGTCTTTGAGGTATAGGATCATGTTGTCTGCAAATAGTGATATTTTGACAGTTTCTTTATCGATTTGTATTCCTTTTATTTCTTCTTCTTACCTTATTGCTCTGACTTGGAATTCCACAACTATGTTGAATTGGAGTGGGGATAGTAGGCACCCTTGTCTTGTTCCTGATTTTAGGGGAAATGGCTTCAGTTTTTCCCCAGTAAGTATGATGTTGGCTATAGGTTTGTCATATATAGCCTTTACAATGTTGAGGTACATTCCTTCTAGTCCTAGTTATCTTAGAGTGTTTATCATGAAGTGGTGTTGAATCTTATCAAAGGCTTTTTCTGCATCTATTGAGATGATCGAGTGGTTTTTGTCTTTGCTTCTATTAATGTACTGTATTATATTTATATATTTGCATATGTTGAACCACCCCTGCATCCCTGGGATGAAGCCAACTTGGTCATGGTGAATGATCTTTCTGATATGTTGTTGGATTCAATTTGCCATTATTTAATTTTTGCATTGATGTTCATTAAAGAGATTGGTCTGTATTTCTCCTTTTTGGATGTGTCTTTGTCTGTTTTGGGGATGAGTGTAATACTGGCTTCATAGAATGAAGTATTCCTTCATTCCTTCCCTCTCTATTTCATGGCAAAGTTTAAGGAGAGTAGGTATTTGAAGGTCTGATAGAATTCAGCAGAGAATCCATCAGGTCCTGGACTTTTCTCTTTTGGGAAACTATTGCTGCTACAATTTCATTTCATGTTATAAATCTATTGAGGTGGTTAATATCCTCTTGGATCAGCTTTGGATGGTCATAAGTATCTACAAATTTTCCATTTCTTCAAGATTTTCAAATTTATTAGAATATAGGTTCTCAAAGTACTCTCTGATGATTACCTGGATTTCTATGGTGTTTGTTATTATCTCCCATTTTGCATTTCTGATTTTATTGATTTGGGTTTTTTCCTCCTCATTTTAGTCAGGTTTGCCAGAGGTCTGTCAATCTTGTTTATTTTTTCAAAGAACTAGCTTTTTTTGTTGTTGATCTTTGTATGGTTTTTTTTTTTTTTTTTTTTTTTTTTTGGTCTCTATTTCATTAATTTCAGCCCTTAGTTTTATTATTTCTCTCCTTCTGCTTGTTTTGGGTTTTGCTTGTTCTTGTTTTTCTAGAAATTTGAGATATAGCATTAGGTCATTTATATGGGATCTTTCTGTCCTTTTAATATATGCACTCATGGCTATAAACTTTCCTCTCAGGACTGCCTTTGCTGTGTCCCATAGATTCCGGTAGGTTGTGTTTTCATTTTCATTAACTTTCAGGAACCTTTTAATTTCCTCTTTTATTTCATTGATGACATACTAATCATTGAACAATGTGTTGTTCAGCTTCCAATTGTTTGCATATTTTCTGCTGTTGTTTTGTGGTTGAGTTCTAGTTTTAATACATTGTGATCAGACAGAATGCAGGGGATTATTTCTATTTTGTTATATTTGCTAAGGCTTGCTTTGTGCCCTAAGATATCAATTTTGGAGAAAGTTCCATGGGCTGCTGAGAAGAATGTATATTGTGCAAATGATGGATAAAATATTCTATAGGTCCATTTGATCTATGGTGTGATTTAGTTCTAAAATTACTTTATTGATTTTTTTTGTTTGGATAACCTATCTATTGGTGATGAGGGGGTATTAAAGTCTCCCACTACCACTGTGTTGGAGTCTATATGTGCTTTTGTGTGCTTTCACTGCTTCCTAACCCAATTCTTTGCAGGCAGACTGGTCTACTAAAGCCTGATTACTGCTGCAGTCATGCCTTTGTTTAGGCTGCTTTTTGTCTATTTAACAATTACTCTCTTAGCTCCAAGTAAAGTTTCAGATTATCCTACAGTTTTCCATCACCTCCACAATTCAGCGATTACAGATTCTGAAGAATTATAGCTCCTAGTGTCTGATGGTCTTTTAGCATTTCATTATATACCATCTCCCCCTTTTATGCCTTTTTACCTTTCTTCCCATCTAGACAAAGATGAGTGGTAAAGTAAAGCTTTGATAAGGATATAAGTGAGTTTATTATTTAAAGTTTTTCAGTAACATTATCTGACATGATGGCATAATTATTTGAATCAGTTCTAATAAAATTCCAATTCACTAGGAAATTTTGTAAGTATCCTTTTCTTGTGTATTGATAGTCTATAACAAGTTGTAACTGTGTTGTCTTATTTTTATTAATATGACATGTATCATTTTACTAGGCTTAAGCAAAGGTATTTACATGAATTCTGTTCATTATATATTCAGATGTATAATACACTGTTCTTGATCTTCACTGAGCCATGAAGTTCATGAGTACTGTCATATTCTGTTGCCTGGAATGTAAGTTGGCACCACTTTTTGGAGGGCAATTAAAATTCCCTATCTATAATAATCTTTACCTTAACCATCCCATTCCTAGATCCCTATGTACAGCAATCCTTGTCCATGCTCACAAAAGAAGTATGTACGGGGTTGTTCACTGTAGCTATGAGTGCAACAAGGGAAACTGACATGCTCTAAAAAAATAAGGAATTATGAAATCAACCATGATGTGTCCATACTATAGAATATTATGCAGGAGTTTAAATGAATAGGGAAAGTTCTATGTACAGGGAAGGAAAGAAACATGACATAGTGAGAGAAAGAATCAAGAGGCAGGATGTTACCATTTATGTAAAAGAAGATGAAAATCATGCAATAAAATGATTTGCTGTATGTAAATATGCATGTAGGCAAATACACGGGAAAAGATCCAGGAAGATAGATACCAAACTCAGCATAGTGGTTACCTCAACAGTGGGGAATTAAGACAAAGAGGGTTTTCACTGTACCTGTTATTTCACTTGTATTACTTGTACAATGGAAAATCAATTTAAATTGCCTCTTACTTATTTCAAAGAGGAACCATGAAAGTTTATATTTTATTTTCATTTTGGCTAACATGCAAGACATCCTTTAACTTCTCATATTATTCTATTTTGTGGGTTTGAAGGAAGAGAGACAGATGTCAGTGATGTGGAACCATGGAGATAGACCTCACAGAAAAGGAATTGTTGAAGCTGCTGAAAAATCTACTAATAGATGGTGAGAATTTCAAACACTAGTATTTCCTTTATGAGAACTTATTAAATATTTGTGAAAGGTTTTTAAATCATTTTTATATCAAAACAATTAGTTTATCCTATTATGCCTTAAGAAGTTCTATCTCAGTTTAGAAATTAACAAAGACAGCAGTCATGAAGCCTGTCTTCATGTATTCAGGAGAGAATATTCACATTTGGATTCCACTAGAAGTCAAAACTTAAGCTATGGATATAAGAAACAGAAATCAGGGAGAATATAATAGAAGAAATAGATGAATCAAAAAAAAAAGAAATGGGAAAGAAATAATGTTTCATCATGGAAGTTATCCCATAGTAAATACCTTTATGGCTCAGAGAGAGCAGGACTAAGGCCTCTGAGTACTAGTACAGTTGTGCACCCAAGAGGGGGCTAGGCTCCTTCTTCAGGGGTTCGAGAGGCCAGGGTGCTTGAACCTAAGTCTTTTTAGAACTCTTCCCAAACAGGATCCCAGAGATTGGGAACAAAGTAAGAACTTCAGCCCTATGCCATTATGCTATAGCTATGAAAACCATTATGCCTTTCAGCTAAGGAGTACTACCTAAATCTCAGCATCTCCCCATGTGTCAAGGAGAATATTTTGCCTTCCAAAGAACCTTTCTATAAATCAATTATATGAAAGTCCTTAATCAGGGATTAAGTTGCCAAAGTAACTTCTGGAAAGAAAAAGTCATTACTTACTATGTATAGGATGTTTTTAAAGGGGAAGGGCAAAATAGAATGCTTCATGCCAGTGGGAACTTAATATGGGGATTTTTGATCATTTAACTTACCCTTAAGTTGTGAAGTGTTTTGTCTTTCTTTTTATTTCTTTTATTCATATGTGCATATAATATTTGGGTCATTTCACCCTCCTTCCCCCTGGCCCCCTTCCTTTTCCCTGCCCCCAAGTGTTTTGTCTAGAAACAGTACAGAGAAAGTGGTTGCCTTCTGAAAAAGTATTTGAAGCTTTTTCCATGTAAAATAATGACTTTAGTTCAGTTTAAATGAAACCAGTCAAGGACACTTCACACAGGAGGCCTAAGCTTCCTGTGAAATGAGAAAGAAGTCAGTATTGATTGCAGAAATCTGATTATAACAGATCCATCCTTAAATGAGGTGACTTTTGGAGTCTGTTCCATTTTAAAACCATCAGTATGTGTACAGCCCTTTGCAAGTCAAGAGGAATAAACAGGATGAAGCCTGTTCTGGCACTTTACATGCTAGGTGGTGGTGGACAATAAACATACAGTAAAATAGATCATTGTAAGAAGGGCTCTGAAGAAAGTCAGTGTCTTGTCCACATGTGCACACGGGGTAGACCTCTATCTAGATTCTGGCTGTGTTGAGCCAAGGCAATGTAAGGGGCCATCTCAGATAGCCTGTGTCAGGCCCAAGACCCCTCCTGCAGAGCTTTTGGAGTCAACCCTGATTCTCTGGTAGCCCCAGCTAAGGGAGTGGTGAATCATAAACCATGGAACTGGGAGTTTAGAGGAAATGGCAGTGTTGTGGAATAAATAACCTTAATGTGCATTCTCTCATCTGCACCCTAATTGCTCCTGATTTCACAGGTAAGTTTGCTTTTCTTAGAAGCAGTACAGCCAGGGGATGGAAGAATACCTCTGGGACGTCATCTTGGAAGAGGAGGAGCTCAGGCTGCCAGAACCAGATTAGCCCTAGGACTATCCCAGAGGCCCCGTCCTGTCACACCATACCCAATGTGTGCTGCCCCCAGATCTGAGCTCGATCCCTGCCTAGCTGTGGGGGAGGGCGAGGCCTCCTCTAGGGGAATGGAGTTTTGGCCCTGTCACCTGCGGGCACAGAGGCCAAATGCGAGCCTAATAAAGGTTTCTGCTTTCTAAACAAAACTCGTAAAAGGGCGAGATGGGGGGAGGGGGGGCGGGGGGCGTTGCCTAGGTGAACTAAGGCAGAGAATGCCGAAACGCTTTGGCTCCCTCGTGCTACTTAAGAGGCTGTTATAACGCTTTGGCTCCCTAACTCAGTGGTGAATTCTTGAAATGTCCCTATTATTTGTCATGTCCATGCTGCTTATCTGGGTTCCAAGGCTTCTTCTCACATTGCTACAGTGGTGGGTGTTGGTCCCAGGGATCCAGATGTCTACGTGGACCCAGAGCCAGGTCCACCTCCCCTCCAAGCTCCAAGGACTGAGTGAGCCCTGCTCTCAGCCTTCAGTTGAGATTCCAACCCAAGATCAGGATCAAGCTCAGCATCAAATGTCGCCAACTACAGAATGTGCAGCCTGGAAGAGAACTACAGCTCCTTCTGCACAGCACCCTGAGGTGACACCTCCACATTCAGACCAGGTTCAACCTGCTCTGGAACGTACCACTACCCCATATTCTGTACATCCCACCACAAAAAATGCTCTAACTGTGCAAACAGAACCGAATGCCACCCCATACACCAACATATGTGAGCTCTGTACCTGTCGAGATGAGTCACTGTTATGTGTTGGTCTCAGCCCAACGCAGAAGCTCCACCGAGTGCCTGTGCCGAAGCCCAACACCTACAAGAAGGTCCTCACCACCCTGTAAGATCCACCTTTCCTCCCTTGTGCTCTGCACTCTGCCTGCATGGCAGCCTTTTCCTCAAGGTCTTCCTGGGCCTTCCTCATCTCCCCAACCCACATGGACTGTCTGCTTTTATCTTTTGCTTATCAACTTTTCCTTGTCGGCATTCTCCTTCATACTGTGGTTCCCTTCTCTGTTCTTTAACTCGCAATTGCCCTTTCTCTTTTTCCATATCCACTTTTATTCGGCTGCTTCATATCATTGCTGAACCTTTGCTCTCCGGATTTTGCTTTACAACTCATCTCCTTAGTGAGGATACAACAAAGTGGCTAAGAGTCGATTATGTAACCTGGCTGCCTGGGTTTGAATCTAGGACTTTCATTTATAAACTTTGTACACATGAGCAAATTATTTATTCCTGTGACTCCATTTCCTCATCTGTGAAATGGAAATTATGATAGTTTCCATTTCATAGGATTGTTGTATGATTTAGATGAATGAGTACATGTAATACATATTGAATACCTAGTGTGTGTGTATGTATATTAGCTATTAATAATATTATTCAGTCCTTCAGCTATGTCCAGAACTCATCTTTGTCTAGATGGGAAGAAAGGTAAAAAGGCATAAAAGGGGGAGATGGTATATAATGAAACGCTAAAAGACCATCAGACACTAGGAGCTATAATTCTTCAGAATCTGTAATCGCTGAATTGTGGAGGTGATGGAAAACTGTAGGATAATCTGAAACTTTACTTGGAGCTAAGAGAGTAATTGTTAAATAGACAAAAAGCAGCCTAAACAAAGGCATGACTGCAGCAGTAATCAGGCTTTAGTAGACCAGTCTGCCTGCAAAGAATTGGGTTAGGAAGCAGTGAAAGGTATTACTATGAAAGACCTTGAATTTGAACTATAGGGGTTTGAAAGTTACAGTGAGATGTGGAGAGTCACTAAACATTTCCAAGGAAGAGCGGCAAATGATTAAAGCTGGAGGGTTTGTTGTTGTTTTGTGTATGTTGTTTTTGGAGACAAGGTTTTGCTATATATAGCTCAGGCTGTCCTGGAACTTACAGCATAGCCCAGGCTGGCTAGATGGATAAGCAGACTTACTTCACCCCACTCCAGAAATTGTAGGTAAACTGAACAGGAGAGTGTTGCTGAGGGTAAGAACAGAATTAAAGGTCAATATTCAAAGTTATTCAGAGTGAAACTGAATGTAATGTATTTAATAGCTTCTCTTAAGCTTGTGTTACTCAAGGATATATTCCCATTTTTTTTTAAAGTCACAAAACCTGGTGACATATCCATGTAATCTGGCACTCAGGAGACTGAGACAGGAATGTCAGGAGTTTGAAGCCAGTGTGGGCTATATAGCAAGACTGTTTCAAAAAAGCTAAGGGCTGTGGTTGGGGTTCAGCTCAAGTGATAGAGTGCCTGCCTAGAAGCCATGAAACCTAAATTCAAACCCAGTATTGCCAAAAACAAAAATTAAGGGCTGGATGTAGAGCATTGCCTAGCATTCGTAAGTTCCCTGAGTTCAATCCCCAGCACCTCCAAAGGTCACAGAAGTATATCACCCACTCTTCCATGCCTACCACCCATAAGATAACCCCTGTTATACACCCCTGTGTGTCCTTCCTTCCACTTTCTCTCCTTTGCACTTTCTCCCTGATGAGGTAATACTTCACTCCTTCTCATATTTGTGTTTTCCCCTCTGCAACAGAGACCTTTCCACATCATCAAATGAGTTCCCCTCATTTCTAACTGTCCTCACCCTTCAGGGATGCACTTCCTTCTTTCTACGTGCTCGTCCTTCCTAAGATCACTTAGGCAAAGCTCTGGTGTTAACTTTCAGAGTTTTTTATTCTTATTTGCTAATAATGATAAAAATTTCCCGATTTTCCTGTTGAATTATTTATCTTTTTCTCATTGATTTGTAGGAGTCAGTTTAAATACAAATGATTTCGGGAAAAATACTTGCATTCAAAGTAATTGACTGGCATTATATAGCCAAGAGATTGGACAGGTGGGAGTTGAACTTCTAATGAGATGTTTCATCATTGTGAGTGACACTCTTCCCACTTTATTTCTTTATTAATTGCAATCTGAAAAACTGGGAGTTCTGGAAGTTAAAAAGCTGGTGACTTTTCCTGTATTTGAATATCCCCTCCCCCAGGTTGCAACAATTCTTTCACTTACTCTGCTCATTGTTTTCCTACTTATTCAAGGATATAAACTGTTTCTTCACAGAAATTTCCATGGAAATGATATTGATTATATTGATAACAATGCATGGAAAGCATATTGTTGGACTGAGAAACTGTAAGTATTTTCTTCCCAAATACGAATACAAAAACTGCATTGTAAGAGCCTCCTTGGTCCAGAATTTTGAGGTCAGTATCTCTGAGAAAAGGTATTTCCCCTCCACATCCTGGATTGACTGCTACCAATTAAAATTCTGTGGTTATTTTTTTTTTAGGGACTGGGGATTATAGCTCAGTGATAGAGCACATTTGTCTTGCATGCGTGAGGCCCTACAGCCAAAATGAAAAATAAACTTTCATGGTTCCTCTTTGAAATAAATAAGAGGTAATTTAAATTGATTTTCCATTGTACAAATAATACAAGTGAAATAACAGGAACAGTGAAAACCCTCCTTGTCATAATCCCCCACCATTGAGGTAACCACTATTCTGAGTTTGGTATCTATCCTTCCAGATCTTTTCCCATGTATTTTCCTACATGCATATTTACATACAGCAAATAGTTTTATTGCCTGATTTTCATCTTTTTTTTACATAAATGGTAACATCCTGCCTCTTGATTCTTTCTCTCACTATGTCATGTTTCTTTCCTTCCCTGTACATAGAACTTTCCCTATTCATTTAAACTCCTGCATAATATTCTATAGTATGGACACATCATGGTTGATTTCATAATTCCTTATTTTTTTAGAGCATGTCAGTTTCCCTTGTTGCACTCATAGCTACAGTGAACAACCCCGTACATACTTCTTTTGTGAGCATGGACAAGGATTGCTGTACGTAGGGATCTAGGAATGGGATGGTTAAGGTAAAGATTATTATAGATAGGGAATTTTAATTGCCCTCCAAAAAGTGGTGCCAACTTACATTCCAGGCAACAGAATATGACAGTACTCATTTCCCCATACCTTTCACCACTCGAAACTCTCCATCTTTTTGATGAATTTTGATCCAGAGATAACCTTTCATCTTCCAGAATTCTCAGTGAAAATCGCCTGACTGAATTACATAAGGATTCATTTGAAGGCCTGCTGTCGCTCGAGTATTTGTAAGTTAGTCAGTTGATCACATTTATTTGTGAGTTACTATCTATGAAATGTATAAAGGGTTCAAATGAGATAATTTCTAAAATCTCCTCCAGCAATAAAATTCTGCACTTGTGTAAGTCTGTGTGGGTCTCAGACTATCTCTGGCATTAAATACTTCCTATGCATTTTCAGATTTCTAAAAATTATATAGACAAGATACAAATGTAAAAAAAAAAAAAGAAAGAAAGAAATTCAACTTACAGCAGAAAACAGGTAATAAGGCCCAAGCATTTATGGTACTCATATGAAACTTGTTTTATAAGTGTTCCTATGCCATATACTTCTTGTATTTATATTTAGTCTATAGCCCATGGGTCAAATCTAATCCACATGTTTTTGTGTAGCTCATAAGTTAAGAATTGTTTTACATTTTTAAAGAGCTCATGTTAGTCACTGTTTTGTCACTGTAACCAAATGCCTGATAAAAACCTCAAGGAGCAAAGACACATTTTGGCTCAGTTGAGCAGTTTCGGTCTGTACCTGCACTCTCCATTGTTTCGGGGCCTCTGGGAGGCAAAGGTGTGGAGGACAAGGCTGCTAACCTCATGGCAGCCAGGAAGCAGCAAGAGAGAAGAAAGAGGGTCTTGGTCAAAGGCATGCTCCTAGCGACCTGCGCCTTCCACCTTAGCCTCACTTTCTAATCGCTCATTCAGCTGTGAGCTTCTCAGTGGGTGAATCCATCAATGAAGTCAGTGTCCTGATGATTCAATCACTTCTCAATAATGCCACCAGCTGGTGACCAAGTCTTCAACACGTGAGGCTTTTGGGGGCACTTCCTATCCAAACCATAGAAGGGCTGTAAAACAAAGAAGAGAAACAAAAAAGAATTTGCAACAGAGATTGTGTGTGGCCTACAAAACCTAAAATATTTAGTATCTGGCCTTACCAAAAAGGTTTGAAAAAGTCAGATTAGTAGGCTGGAAGGAATTTTTTTTGTGTGTGTGAATATTCCAGTTTCATTTTCTTTTAAGTTGTTCTTTGTTTTTTGTTGTTGTTTTTGTTGTTTATTGTTTTATTATTCATATGTGCATACAAGGCTTGGGTCATTTCTCCCCCCTGCCCCCACTCCCTCCCTTACCACCCACTCCACCCACTCCCTCTCCTCCCCACCCCCTCAATACCCAGCAGAAACTATTTTGCCCTTATCTCTAATTTTGTTGAAGAGAGAGTATAAGCAATAATAGGAAGGAACAAGTATTTTTGCTGGTTGAGATAAGGATAGACGAACAGGGAGTTGACTCACATTAATTTCCTCTGCATGTGTGTTACCTTCTAGGTTAGTTCTTTTTGATCTAACCTTTTCTCTAGTTCCTGGTCCCCTTCTCCTATTGGCCTCAGTTGCTTTTAAGGTATCTGCTTTAGTTTCTCTGCATTAAGGGCAACAAATGCTAGCTAATTTTTTAGGTGTCTTACCTATCCTCCCTTGTGTGCTCTCGCTTTTATCATGTGCTCAAAGTCCAATCCCCTTGTTGTGTTTGCCCTTGAGGGATGGAAGGAATTAAAATTGCCCACGGGAGAAGAAATATAGTCATATACATTAATTTCAGTATTACTAGCCTAAGATGTTTTGACATTATAGTCTAAATTAAATTAACATTTTAATATTATCTAGCTAAACAGACAAATTATATAAATAATATTAAATATTATATAAATTAATTATATTAATAATTATATAAAATTAAATATTATATTAAATATGTAAATATTATCGAAATGACTAGACTACCAGGAGAACAGACTAATATTAAGTATTTCAATCCAAAAATTGTTATACCCATTAGTTGATTTTGTTTTGTTTTGTTTTGCTTTTGCAGTACTGGGATTTGATCTCAGGGCCTTGCACTTGTTATACAGGCATTCTACTACTTGAGCACACATCTAACCCTTGTTATACCAATGATAAAAGTAGGTAGTTGAAGCTGGGTGTGGTGGTGCACTCTGGTAATCCCAACACTTTGCAGGTGGAAGCAGAAGGATCTCAAGTTAGAGGCCAGCCTGTGCCACACAGCAAGATCTGTCTTAAAAACAAAGTAACATTTAAAATGATGCTTAAGTGGTTACCTAGAAACATTTACACTTAAGTAAGCCTACCAGAACCGTCCTTAACTTTTTCTTTTCTTTTTTGTGGTACTTGTCTTACTACCTTTGCCTGGGATGGCCTCAAACTTGAGATCCTCTTGCCTCTAAACCCTGAGTAGCTGGAAATATAGCATTACTACCACCCCTGGCTTCCCCTAACTCTTCACTAATTACAAAATAAAAATCTCACCAGCTTTTAGTATTTCTATCTTCAGAGATAACAAGGTACTATGTTCTCTGCCTTGAAAGCTTTTTTTTTTTTTTGTCCTTTGTCCAGGGGGTGCAGTCATGTGTACTTCACTAAGTTTATTAATGCTTATATTAATTAGCTTACTAATCTAATGAGCTTTTTTCAAATCTCCTTTCAAAAGAAGACTTTTGGAAGCAGATGTAAAGAGCCTCACATGGCACAAAATATAGTCCTTTGAATCATCAACCCTTCTAGATTCTTAAGGCACCAACCACTTCTGTATTGGTCTATTGGGGTTCCCCCACCATCTGGGCTCCCAAATCTTACTAACATGGTTTGGAGAAAACCAAATGAGATAACTGCTCAATGGAGTTGGCCTTTGCTAGTTCTGCTTTGAAGTACTTTGTAAGCTAATTATATCACATTAGCATATGTATTCTGCATCATCTTTTAAAATTTTACCAATAAAAGAGCTAAAATAGAACATGCTATGCACTGTGGTGCCTGGTATGGGAGGCACAAAGATGAGTAAGACAGGATTCCTCCCCTCTAAGAACTCATGGGCTCCCAGGGGAAACAAATACATAACCTCAAACCATAATACAGCAGAGGTGCAGAAGAGGTTGGTCAGGAAGAAATAAACTGCATTCCTTCTAAGTACTCATTTTTCTTCTCCTACTCACTCCCCAGCTAATCATTGACTTTACAAACATTTGGCTTTACTCAAATATTTGTGTCATTCTCAAACATGCTGGGCAAGGAGGAGCAAACAAGACCTAGTTCAAGCTTTCAAGGAGAAATGGGATGCAAAAATAACCATTAAACCATAAACCATAGAAACATTAAGAGGTAAAAATTGTGTCTAGAGCACAAAAGAGGAGAAAAATCCTTCAAACTGGGTCAGGAAAGTTGTTCCCAGAGCAATGCTGCTTAAACAGGACCTTAAAAGGTCACTGGGACACATCAGAAAGGCAGCTTGGTGAGAATACGCAGAGTTTGCAAAAAGGAGAGTGGGAGAAAGGCAAAAGGTAAGAAAGTGCTTGAGGAATGCCATGAGCACCTGCAGAGTAGAAGAGAGGGAGAGTAGGAGATTGCATGCAGACCATCTAGGACTCTGAATGCCAAGAGAAGAAGTCGAGATGGGGAACCACATTATCAGAGCCAAGCTATAAGACGACCTTGAGCCTGCTTCAGAATTTCCTGGAGGGCTTGTTACAACTTGATTCTGGACACCACCCCACAGTTGCTGATTCAGTAAGTCTGTAGGAGCCTGAGAATTTGCATCCTTGAAAGTTCCCAGATGGCAGGTGTGGTGGTGAATGCCTGTGATCCCAGCACATGGGATTCTGAGGCAGGAGGATCTCAAGTTCAAGCCCAACCTAGGCTAAGGAGAAAGTTCTAGGCCACTGGGCTATATAGTGAGATCTTGTCTCAAAAAATAAAAACAATTCAGGCATGGTGGTACACCCCAATGATCCCAACGCTGGGGAGGCTGGGGCAGGAGGATCAAGAGTTCAAGGTCAGCCTGAACTACATACTGAGACCCTCTCTCTAAAAAAAAAAAAAAAAATTCCCAGTAATGCTGGTCTTTGAGAACCACTTCTGGAGAGTCTATCTGATGACTATTCAGAATTGATCAGAAAGGGAGAGAGTAGAGGTAGAGGTAAAGACACCAATCAGGAGAGTTACACCTGCCCAGGTGAGCAGGGGAACAGTGAGAGACAAGCTGGAATGGAGGAAGAAGGAGAATTAACTGTAGAAAAGGATGGGTGTTCTGAAATAAAAATCCAGGTACATGTTGTTTTTCATTGTCCTGCCACTGTACAACTGAAGCAGTTGTCTTCTTGGGATATTTAGTCAATATGAAACAAAAAATAAATTTGTATTAACATGACAGGATAATTTTGAATCAGTTCAAAGTCATACATGAGAGGAGCAACTGCC